GGGGCCAGTTACAGTGTTGGAAGATTCATCTTGGGATAGGAGGAGGGACCAGATAACTGATCTTTCCCATCAAGACATTCTGAGAGGACTTGAAACTCCAACGTCAGCTGGAAGGGAGGGAGTACCGCCCCTCATAGAGATTTCTTACGATGGTTGGGTAGGGGCTGGGGGCACAACAACCTGCTCACCTCTGAATTCCCCCTCCTGGCCCTGTTTACCAAAATACTCAGAAGCCAAAGAATAGAGGCAAGAAATCTCCACCTTCCAGAGAAACTAAGGGCCAGGGCCAGGCCATATAACCAGAGAGCTGGAAATGTGATAAGCACCCATCCCAAGACACCCACTCACCCCAGCTGAAAGTCCTCAGCATCTGGACAGAGGCTCCTAGAGGTATCGTCTTCTTCTGCCAGCCCACTTGCCCTCCAGGTCCCAGACTCTGTGGAATCTTCCAGAATGTTCCCATCTAATCCCAAAGCTAGGCCATTGGTGAGAGAGTGGCTGAGACCAGGGAGGGCCACATTCAGGTCCTCAGTGGGCTTCTCAGCATCCTCCAGGGTGCCTTTCTTCTCATCACATGGACTGTTGAGGCAGCTGCTTAGACCCTCACTGGCTGCCACTCCATTCTGGACCCCAGGCTTCTCTTCAGACTCCAGGCTGGGGTCCTGCGTGGCACCACCTTCCTCAGGCAATTCAGACCGGAGCTTGTCTTCATCCATGGCTGCCACTGCTTCTACCCAGTCCCAACCAGCCCTAGGACTCCAGAAAACTTAGCAGAAGATGGAGAGATAAAAACAGGATCAGTCATTCAGGGCATGTAGTCAGAAGAACTAAAGCCCTATGGAACCAGTGCTGGGGTAGCATGACAGGGGCAGGGAAATGGCCATGATGATCTCCTGGGGACCCTTTAAACTGGAGAGGTGGCTCAGGTCATGGTAGTGAGGAACTGGGCAAGGATCTAGTACCTCTTGAAGAGCCCTCTCCATGCTTGCTGGAGAAAGGAGACAAAACTCCAGGCTGGCTGCAGCCAGTCATGCACCTCTTCACACATTCTCAGCCCTGGCTGCAGGATCCAGAGAGGAGTCCATGCTTGTGATTAGTGGAGGGTACTGGGCTGGGGGCTTCCTTTACGGGGGTGTTGAGAAGTCAAGGAGATGAACAGAAACGATGCTTAATCCTGGCAGGGAGCACCAAAGGGGAGCCAGAGTGAAGCCTGGAGACAGCCCCGAGCCACAGGAGGCCTGGTGTGAGGCGCTGTCCAGGGTGCTGGGTACTGAGCTTCAGACAGTCTAGCAGAGAGGTAAGGTTGCCCCTGCAGTGCCCAACACCTGGCAATGCCAGGAAGAAGGAAAAAGGGGCCCAGGGCTCCCTCCTCATACCCCCACCCTGCAGGAGCTCACCCAGCCTTGAGAAGAGACTCAAGGGAGAGGCCATCACAGACACTCTGGGGAGAGCAAAGCAAGGGGAGCCACACCCTCCTCTGCCCAACCTCAACAGGTTTCCTGACCAAACTCATCCTAACTGGGAAGGCAGAGACTATGCACAGTGAAGGTCATCCTCTCCTCTTCCCTCTGCCTTGGCCCATTTTAGTCTAGGTTACCCTCCCTAGTGGCCTCTGCCAGGGGATACAGTCCAGTCCCATCCCCAATACCTTGGAAAGCTGCCTAGAAGCAGGTACCTCGCCATTTCCCATTTCTAATTTGAGTCACTTCCTTCCTCCCCTCTGTGGGCCCTAGTGTCCCCCAGTACCCTGCTTTCTTCTGGAGAGGACTCCTGGGGTTCAGGAGAAGCTGGAGGAGGAAAGGAGAGGCCAGCTCTCTGGGCTGCAGAAGGACAAGCTGCAATGGGGAGATAAGGACACAACCCTCAAACCTTCTGTACCTGCCTGTGCCTAAGTCTTGAAGAGGACTCAATCTACCAGGCCTTCCCCAAGCCACCAACTGCAGGAAACAGAAGCTAAACTCTGGGAGAACTTCTTATGCAGATGAGCCCAGAGAGGAAGGGGAGTCCTGCTCTCTGGGGACATCTGGACCTTTGAGGAAAGCTAAGCTACCACATACCAGTTCAAATCCATTTAACCATGGGTTTTCAAACACTGAGTGAAAGATGGCTGGACAAAGAGATCTGTGACCCCACCTACCTACACCCATCTACTTATCAAAAAAAAAAAATTTAAAACATCTTCAAGTCAGGCTCTTGACTGTCTGGCTCCTGGTACTAGGACGCCAGGGATTCTCGGGGCTCAGCACTGAGTGAGAGTCTTTCAGTTCTGCCCTACATCCCTGCTATTTCCATTGGTTCCCTCCAGTTGCATTCCCAAAGGAGAGAGAATAGGAGGTCACCTCTGAGACTCCAGGGAGCAGGTAGAAGGAGGGAGGGGGTCCTTGAAGCCTTCTGTCTAACTCTAGTCCCCTGGCCTACTCACCAGCCCAGGGCCAGCAAAGCACTGTCTCTGGGACACATAGCTTGAGCCCCTTACTCTGCCAGGATGCCAGGAGCCTGGCAGAATAGGGAGCCCTTCTTGTCAAGGTTCTGCTTGGGTTCCTGCTGAAGTGGCTTCACTTGATGAGTGATGTACAGCAGCCCAAATTCAGGGCTGTGGACAAATCAAGGACTTCTTGGGAAACCTCTCTATGACCCTGTAACTTCCAGCAGGTGCCTCAGGCAATCCCTGCCCTACCTGCCCTGCTGTGACCACAGCTTGGAGCAGAATGCAGGTGCTGCCAATACCAGACACTGGCCCATGTCCTCAGTTCTGGGGCTGAGCAAACAAGGGGCAGCATTGAGCGCTACTCTAGACAGGGGTAGAGGCACAGCCCCTGCCTGGGCTGAGGGCCAGTTGAGCTCAGAGTAGCTGAGCCTCAGGAGGGGTACGCAAAGGGAACATTTCAAGATGGAGGTATAAACCGGTTCCCCAAACCCTCACTCTGAAGTATTATGTGACCAAGGTCTCCTCCTTGCCCCCTGACCTGTGTGAAGCCATCTGCAGAATGGCGTATTATTACCTCTGCTCTCCTCCCCCCAGAACTATGGGGAGAATCTAAGGTCATGGATGCTGAAAGGGCTGCAAACTCCCCAGAGTAAACAGCAGCTGAGCTCCATTTGACAAGGGGGATGCTGAGGCATAGCCAGGAAAGTCTGGGATCCCACAGTGAGTGAACAGGAGTAGGCCCCCTCTGCAGCTGAAAGGAGCAGAGGTGCTGGCTGAATCCTCCCATGAGAGTAAGGCCCCAAATCTTCAACCAGGAGGGTCAGCCCAAAGCAGTGGCTCTTCCTGCTTCCAGCCCTGCCAAAGCAGGGGAGGGAATATAACCGGGCCACTGGGCGCCTGTCTCAAAAAGACGCCTACAAACAACAAGCTGGCAGCAGCTAAGATCCCCCACAGCCTCTCAGCCTGATCCAGGCCCCTTTCCAGGGGCTCTCACTACCAAGAGCCCTTGGGATGACCTTGGGTTCTGCAGCTTTTTTGTTTGTTCATTTGTTTGTTCAATGAGACAGGGTCTCTCTGTGGCCCTAGCTGGCCTGGCACTCATTATGGAGACCAGGCTGGCCTTGATCTCACAGAGATCTGCCTGCCACTACCTCCCTTGTGCTGAGATTAAAGGTGAACGCTATCACCACATCTCTCATCAGCCTCTTTTTCTAGAACCAGGTGAAATGGAGACCATAATGATAGTGGAACCCTGGCTGGGCCAGGGGTGACTGGCAAGTCACATAATTTCTGGGCCAGCTGCCCCTGAGACAACCTTGTCCCCTTCCCCACTTTCCCCCTGGCAGTTAGAGAGCACTGTAAAATAAATCACATGGTGTGCCTCGCTCTTTCATAATCCTTCAGCAATTCCCATCTCCCTTAGGTGAGAGTCCACCCTCCTCAGCATGGCCTAAAAAGGTCCCACCTCAGCTCTCTCTGTCTACTGTCGCCTCCCTAGCCACTCCCCCTACCCCTGCCTCTTTCTACTCCCTGAGCTCATTCCCACCTCAGGGCCTTTGCACCCTGTTGTTTCCTTAGATCTTTCGATGATTACCTCTTCTGCCATTCAAGGCTCTTCTGCCAAAGCTGCCTTCCAGAGAGACCCTGTCTGCCTACCCTGTCACATGCCTCCAAGTTTCAGAGTCCCAAGCAGAACTGAAACACCCCCTCTTTCTTTTTTAAATAATTAATATATTTTGTGTATGTACGAGTGTTCTTATGTGTGTGCATATGTGTGTACATGCTCACCAAACATGTGTATGAGTATGTGAAGAGATCAACACAATGTCTTTCTCAATTGCTCTCCACCTTACTTTTTGAGACAGTATCTCTCACTGAATCTAGAGCTCATGGTTGGCTGGACTAGGTGGAAAGTGAACCCAGGAATCTCCCTGTCTCTGTCTCCCCAGCACTAACATTACAGGCACACACCACCACATTTGGCTTTTTATTTTGATGCTGTGGATCCAAAGCAGGGCCCCCATCCTCGCTTGGCAAGCACTCTCTTGACTGAAACTATCTCTCCAGTCCCCTGAATCTCCCCTTTCTATCTGCTCACTTTCTACCCACCTCCCTGATGCTAGGATATGGGTCCAGTGAGGGCAGGGACCTCTCATGTTCACAGCTGTCCAGAGCCAGTGTCATGCCTGTCACATGGGGATGCCTTTATAAATATTTGTTGAGTAACCCGGATTATCATCATCTCCATTTTTGGCAGAGGCTAAGCGATATTGAGAAACAGGCTCAGGGTCACAAAGCTGGAAAGCATCAAGGCTACTGCAGGAATGGATAGTCCTATGGTCTTTTCCATCCTGGAGTCCAAGCCAGAGGCTGTGAGAAGGACAGGGCTAGAGCCCAGACCTGCAGGAGGGCTCCACTTGCTCTGTGAGACATGGGCAAATCATGGGTACAGGCACCTGTGTGCCTGGCTGTGCACAGTAGGCATTTGTGGGCTCATACATACTCAGGCCACACAACCACATAGAAGGAAAGACTTCGGCAGCCCTTGTGATGGAGTCCATATGTGTGGACATGTGAGGTGAGAAGTCTTCAGACCTGAGGCAAGGTTAAGGGTAGCCAGACCTACATTACTGGGCATCCAGAGTAGAAATTCCTCTGCCTAGAAGAACAGGAAAGGGAGCAACCCAGAGCTTCAGACTGGGGTGTGATGGGGAAGACAGACATACACACTGACCATAGCCACACACAGTAGCAGCAGAGGGCTTGGTGTATAGGTCAGTTGGTTAATATGGGGCATAAGGCAGACCCAGGATGGGAGCCAGGATGCTGAGCATTACTCAGGACAAGCATGATCTTAGCTTATGGTGTATTCAAGGTACTGATCCCAGGCCAGAGATGCAGAAAGGTCTGAGAATGTGTAGAGGTATTGAGACCATAGCTGCCCCAGGAAGCAAGTTGGGAGCCTAGATACTCCAGTTTTGCCTGTAGTGTGCTGGGCACACTGGGTGAATGAACCCCTCTGTCCTCACTTCTCCACATGCATCAGATTCAGAGTATTCCCACCTGATTGAGTTGAGGGTCCACCCCAAATGGACTCTCACAAATACAAAACATTCAGAGTTTGTTTGGAGAGGCTCACAAATCCCAAAACCCCATAGACAGACCTCTGACACGCAACACAAAGAACTCTACCAATGTTCTCTGGCAAAGAAAGAGGGAACACTTTCACTTGTAGACCTATTATCTGCCCCTGGTACACACCTGGAACACCCCCACTGACCCTACCGCCCTTCTCCCCATAATTCCTATTGCACTAATGGGCTTTCTAACTCATCTAGCTGTTAGCACATGGCTGAGTTCTTATATACACATGTGTACATACATATATCAAACATGAAAATCAATGTGGAAGGACTGCTCAGATTAGATTCCTGTCAGCTCTGCCCCTCACCATCCTGGAGCCCAAGGTAGCCCAGACATTCTGGGGGCCCTGACAGCATGGGCAGTAGGTAACTGCCAGGAGAACCTCTGGGTGGGATCCCTGGACCACACATCTCACTCTCCCATCAGGCCTCTGCTAGCCACAAGGCCTGAATCCTGGGCTTTTCTTGTCATCCCAGATTTCTAGGCACCCCTCCTTCCCAAGCCAGGTCAACCTTACCACCTGCCTCAACATCCCAATTGCCCAGAGCAGGAGGATCCCAGGATAACATGGACAGCATGCCTACCCAGGAGCCTCAGGAGCA